ATTTAATTTATATTCAATCTTACTGCTTCATTTTGATCATATTTAGCCAAACGAAAAGTTTCCGATGTAATTATCGAAAATCCATGTAAAGATAAAATCTGACAAAAACAATCAATGATTGGACGGACTTCTTCTAATGACATTCTAAAGTAACATATATATATTCATTATTTATTTATTTATTTATTTTTCCTTTTTTTTAACAAAACAAAACAAAAAAATCTTTTTTCTTTTATTAATATATTTATGTATATATATATATATATATATATATGTATAGAATTTTGTATGTTTGATAAATGAAAAAAAAAGAAAAGAAAAGAAGAAATGAAAAAAAAACAAAGAATAGACTTTTTATTTCATACATCATATATCTCGCTCTATTATTCACTTAGAAAAAAAAAAACAAACAGATAAACATGGAATATCCAGCTACCTAATCTAGGTCGCATAGAAAGAAATACAAAAGAAAAAAAAAAAGAAAAAATATACAAAAACAAAAGTGCACATGCATGGTTTTATTTTTGTCTTAGATCATTAAATATTAAGTTTTACTTTTTATTTCTGTTGCAATTGTTGAAGTTGGACTCCATTGTTGTTGATGTCGTCCAAGTATGAGATTCATAGAAGAACTGTTCACCGTAGATAAATCATTAGAAGATGAATTTGATGAATGATTCGTATTATTTGATGGTGATAATGGTGTTGTTATTATTTTACGACTACGACGTGATGAAACACGTGTAGGTATATTACTTTCAGTTTTAGGAGAATTCGTTGATTGTTGAGGAGATAAACGACTAGAATAAATTAGATTTATCATAATGAATTACTCTTACCTAATTGCTTTTCCTGGTGATCACAGATCAATTGACTGAAATCGAATGTCTCAGAAAAAGTCTTATAACTCTCGAATGTAAATAATTAGGAATGTCCGCCTTGAGTAAGTTGAAAGAGAAATAGCTTTAGAATATTGGCTTCGAAAATCTCTATTAAGAACTCATTTGATTGATCAATAGCTGATCAAATAATTTTCGATGATCCGGACTCTTCTCTCCTAAATGATGACAACCACAACTCTTTCCATTCTTCAGTTATTGCAAAAATACTCATGACCATTGTATGCATTCAGATTTTGAGGAATGTTTTAGATCACTCGAAATCGTGTTATTAATGCCGTTCAGCACCTTTTGCTATGAGTGGAGAAAGTTGTAAAGTCTCGAGTGAAAATAATTTACATTATTTTTTTTTTCGAAAAATATAAGATGAGTTCCACAAATGAAAATCTTTACCTGCTAGTTGAAGGTCGACCACGTTTTCCTTTGACAGTTGATACAGGTGAATTTGATGAGGAAGGAGGTGTTGATATAGGTGGATCACAAACTGAACACTGCCATGATCCATCTGGAATAGCTTCAAGACCAACACAATACGTATGATAACCACGATCACATCGATCACAAAACATCATATTAGCCTAACAAAAAAAAAACATATATATATATATAATAAATCTTGACTTTGTTTTTTTTTTAAATCTCACTTCATCATGTGTTTTATTACATTTAGCACAACTTTTACAATCAATACATTGCCATGGATATGTTTTAATAATAGTTAACATATCATTATTAACTTCAAGACAAGTTGGATGAAAATGATGTTGACAACTAGTACATGTAACTAATTCTTCATCATGTTCATCTTGTGCTAATTTACATGTATGACATATATTTGAATGATTATTTATGGATATCGGTGTTGATGGTTTACTTAGACGAGATGATGATGATAATAATGCATTACCACCGATTCCATTGACTATTAGTGGTGATTGTGGTGTTAATGGACGTTGTTGAATTGAACTATTTGAAATAAGAGGACGAGTTGTTGAACAATTTTCATCTTCTTCATCACTTGATGCAATCTATAGAAAAAAAAAATATTCACTGACGTTAACATAAGCATAAAAAAAAAGACATATTGTGACCAATATCCGCCTTTCAGAAATTGAAAAATCAACAGCAATTGAATAGGAACTCACGTAAATCGAAGTTATTTGATAATGAAGTGATTTAAAACAATTCTACGAAAACTTGATCAAATTTATTTCTGTAGAAATTTAAGGAGAAAATCAAACAGACCAACTTTCTAATGAAATTACCATCCGAGATAATACCTTACGTTTACAATGAGACCTCAGTCATTACGTAGAGCTTGTTGAGTCTAGAAGAATTTTTCACCATGTGTCGCCCTTTTAGAGTTATGGCCATTACATTGAATTTTAGCTTAAAGTTGTGTCTATAGGCAGCTCTTGAAGTCATTAGAATTTCGTTTCATAATATTCAAATATTTATCTTGCTTATCTTATTAGAATTTGATTCAAATTTCAAATTCATTAACAAAAGCAATTATAAATCTTTGAAATAAAACTATAAATTCCAATTCATATAAAAGAACGTTTAACATTGATAAGCAAACAAAATTTATCTTCAGTATGTTTTTCATACTTATCTAATCTTTCTTGATTCAACTATTAAAAAAAAATTATCAAATATATTTAAGTTTTTTTTTTATAATATATATTAACTAGTGTATGAGCAAAATGATTCCAGGACCGAAAGAAAAAACAAAAATCACTAATTACGCTTATGTTAATATAATAAAAATTTAATTTTACCTGCTGTGAAAATCGTTCCGTATGAATAAGTGAAAGTGGTTTAGGATAATAATAAAGTGCTGTATTAATTGGCATATATTTTAATTCATCTGATTTATATTTTTTATAAGAATCTTGATATTGTCCAGGTAAAAGTGCTAATGGATAAGAACCAATTTTTGTTAAATAAGATGGTAAACGAAATTGTCTATTGGCAGGATAATGTATTTGCTAGATAAATAAATATGAAATAACTTAAATTAATTTATAATAAAGAATATTAAATAACAAACCATAGTTTGAAGATCAAAACATGCTTTACGATCTTGAAGTCGTTCTCGTTGTAACTGTGTATTATAATCAACTGTTGAACGTAATAAATCTTGTCGAAATTTCTTTAAAAAAAATATAGATCTAATATAGAATTTTAATAGACGACAAAAAAAAAACAATCACATACAGAAACTCGATTTTTATCTCCATTATCAAATGAATTATTTGTTTGAATATTTGATGTAGATATGGATGATGATTGATTTATATTTGATATAGATAAAACTGATGGTACAGTGCCATTCTTATTGGTAGCAACAAGTGAACGACGTTTTTGTTGCCATACATGATTAAATTGCTAAAATTAATTGAAAAAGAAAAATAATCAACTCTATTTTCTCCGAACATCGGGAATCTTAGCATATTTAAAAGAAACATGTAAACTAAAAGAGACATCTTCCATAGACCTTCGAATTGTGAAGTACTATGTACCCTACAGTTACTTCTCTTCCGATTTCAATATTTCTTTTGTCTATAGATACTACATAGTGTTCTAATAAAAACCTTAAAAAGATTTGAATTTCTATTGAGATTTGACTAAGCTATCAAATTTTTTTAGAAGTTCAAGATTTTCAGAAAATTTGTATTTTAATCTGAAATATTATGAATATAGAGAACTTAATAAGACTAGCCTCCATGGAAAAAAAAACTCGCGAGTTTTGAACAATGTCTCTTCGAAATATGAGACTTTCAACATATAGACCCTTTTCCATGAATAGGATATTCGTTTAGCTGGTGTTCCTCCTCCTAAAAAGTGTTCTACTGTGTGATGTTATAACATCACACGGTAGAACATCAACTAAACGAATACTTCAATAATTTATAATATTTCATTTCGATAAAAACAAAAGTATTTTATTGAACAAGATAAATATCAATCAACTCTTGACATTTCTTCTTATCTCTTACATGACATTTTTCTGGATAATCAGTTGACATAAGTTCTAAAACTTCATCAAGTTTAAGTGCTGTTAAACCAAGATCACATTGTGTTTCTGTAACAACATTTTGAGATTTTAAATATTCTCGTTCATGTAAATCAACAATTCGTCGATAAATATCTATTAATAATAAAAGATATTATTCCTTTTTTTTTTATTTGAGAAATAATAATTATACCAGGATATTTTCGTTTAAATGATTTAAGTGATAAATAATCACATATTTGTTCTTGTAATACATGTAAATCAGCATGTGGTTCACCTGTTGGCCATCGATAGATATGTAATTTATCAGCAGATAAATGTCGTCTAATATGAAAAAAAAAAACAAAAACAAATTTTCAATTGTTTTCTGAGAAGAAGAAATTGAAATTAATAAACAAACCCTAAACTTTGATCAATATCAGTTGTTGTTCGTTTTTTTCGACTCTTTTTTGTTGGTGTATCTGTAGTTATAGGTGAATGATTACTTTCATTATTATCATCTCGTGTTAAACTTGGAGATCGACTACGTTTAAGAGATTTATTTGTTGATTCAGTATGATTATAATTAATATGATTATTAATTGAAGGTAAAATTGAAACGTCAGATGACGTTGATACTGATGAATGAATTGAACTATTCATCAAATTAATCTAAAGTTTAAAAAAAAAACAAAACAGTGTTTTCTTTTTTGCCCTTCAATAAACGAGATACTGTTGTAATGCCATTTGAAACTTATTCTAACCTCGATAAAGATAAAAAAGAATTTTTAAATAAAAAAAACAAAAACCTAAATCAATAAAACATTTTATTTTTTGAAGAAATTATTATTTTTTTGTTCAGTTTAAAGATTTTCTTAAATTTTATTTAGAAAAATACTAGTAGATGGCGTCAGAAGTATTTTGTTAAAATACATTGATTGTAGTGTAATTCAAATCTTATTCTATATTTATAATGAACTGAATAATATTGCTATAGTTATTGTGATTAATTGAAAAAAAGATGTTGCAACATCATGGTAGTCGATTGATAGATTCACCGAATTTTCAACAATTATATACAAGTCGTTTTGTACCTTTATTTATACATTTAATTCTTTTAATACTCATTTTTGTTTATCGTGTAAGTTATCTAATATAAAAAAACACATCAGGAAAAAAAAATGTCCTTAAATGACTTCTTCTATTTTTGATTGGCGTATTTTTTTTTTTGAAGGATGAACTTGTTAATAATTGTAGTATTAATGATTATGCAAATGCATCGAATGGGCTTATTTGGTAAGTTAATTTTGAATTTATGAAATTTTTTTTTTTTTATTATGGAATAATATATCAAGGTCGGATGCTTGGACGGGTGCATCACTTGGTTTAGTTCTTATTGAAATGATTTTATCTCTATCGGGTTTTTCAATTTTTCGATATTATGCTGTTATTTTCTGTAAGAGAAATATTTAAATAATGATTTATTTGTATTTGTATTTATTTTTCTTTTTTTTTAGCAATTGTATTACATTCAGCAGCTTGTGTTGTTATCAGCGGATATTTTATGTCGGATATGAGTATTTGTATGGGTTTACCATATTTATTATTTTTTTGTACGTTTTTACCATTGGTTATTGAATTGATCAGTTGGCTTGAATTATTTGTATTCAACAAAAAACTGTGATTTGTTCTTTGTTTTTTTTTCGCATGATATGATTTATGTAATTCCGTCCATTTAATATAGTTATATAAATTTAATGCGAATTAGAATGCTTTTATGTTTGTGTATTAACATATAGATATTTATGTTTGTCTAACTTTTAGAGGATGGCTACAAATACGCTTTCTTCTCATTCATCAATTCCTCCTGGTGATATTTCAACATTAAATTCTTATGGTGCATTATCTCATAATAATGATATTGAAGTATTACCATCAACAACAGTAATTAATTCAACATCAATGCATAATAATGAATCTAATTCTACTATATCAAATCATTATAAATCTCCAAAAACTTCTTGTTTAAAACCTCAACAATCTGAAACAATATTTGCTATATTTTTATTTACACTTGGTCTTAGTTTATTAATCTATGTTATTGTATCATATTGGTTTACACATAGTCAAATATCTCCAATAATTATATTTATATGTGGTTTACTTTGTTTTATACCCGGTTGTTATTATTTAGTTGAACATTATTCATTTATATTTAAATGTAAACGAAATCGTCATCGACAATTACGAACAATTGATGAAGATGATATTATCTAAATATTCATATCAATTCTTAGAACTTTTTAGACATAATATTATTTCTTTTATATATATATATATATATTCATCTTATTTATTTTATTCAGATATATAATAACAATGAATTTTTATTTTACTCATTTTTTTTTCATTATATAAAAAACAAACATCTTTTTTTTTTTTGCTCGAAGAAAAATAATGTATTTTTTCCGTATTTATATTTTTTAGATGAGTACAACTGAATTTAATACAGATTCATTTCGTGATTTAACATTTGATCTTTTATCGGGTGTTGCAAATGATACAACAAAATTCGATGAATTAAATGATGCTTATTTGAATAAACTTCATGAACGTACAGATGGTGATAATTTACGACGATATGCAAGAGAAATTTATGAAAAAATTCTTTGTAAGAAAAAAAAAAAAATAAATAAATAAAAGAAAATTTATTAAAATTATTATTATTATCTAGCTCTACAAATTGTACAATCAAATTCAGCAATACACTTAAAAGATTCATTTCATGAAAGAATTATTGTTGTTTATTTTTGGACATTTTCTAATGTTCATTCTTTACAAACACTGGAAAGAATTATTGGTATGGATAGACGATATTCTAGTGCTGGTGTAAGTTATTTTGAATAGAATTAAATTATATATATGATTTTATATAATAAATAGACTTTTCTTTTTTTCGGTATGATTCAGATAAAATAGACTTCCAAATTGATAGAAAAAGTAGTAATAAGTTGCTTTTATTAGAAATCTAAAGCATACTTCCGGCGAAGATTGCGTAGACAGGAAGGTAAGATGCTTTATATAAATATATAACAGTGTTTAAAAACGAAGAAGAAGAAGATGTTTTACCTTTCGGCTACTGTTGTCCGTGTAGAATACTCAATTTCGATAAGTCCGATATTTTTCCTACAGTTGACAAATTTCAGAAATAGTCATCCATCTCCTTAATAACTTGGAATAGAAAGACAAAATATATATCGTGAGAATCGAAGCAATAGTCATGAATAATTTGTCCAAGATTAGTCCATAACTCGATGATGGTGACATTCAGACATGACAGCTCAAGATGAGAATATATGAATATTTTTCAAAATAAATTTCATGCGACAAAAATAAAGTCGTTAAAAATCTTTTAGTTTATCTTTTGTTGTATCAGAATGGATTGTTGAAAATTTTACACCGACGACATATAAGATTTTTTTTGCTACCGTAATATTAGAAAATTAACTGTGTAGAGTAACACTTAATTTACGTATTAAAATCTATCGTTGATTGTTAACAAGTGCTACTTACAATCAATTGTGTTATGGATCGGATATATATTTTCGAAGAAAATAGTGAGTGTAAGTTTAAATCAAGGTTTGTTTTTTTGTCGTGTCCTCTTTCCTAGATTCTAGCAATGGGGCGGATGTTATTGAGTACGTTTCCATAGCAACCGAAGATAACAGGCATCAGACTCCTTTCTCAGAGTTTCTTAGCAACTGAAATGGACACTCAGAGAAAACTTTGACTGTTCTAAAACATTCCAAAGTCCTCGTCGTAATTTGAATGGCTGGAATATGTTAGTTAGTGTTGTAAATAGTGAAGTTTTTTTTTTTTATCTAGACAAAAGATATAAATATTCTAGAACATTTTAATTTTTCTTTTCTATTTTTAATATCTTTCAAGGTTACTATTATTGGTGTTCATTCTTCAAAATATGAACATGAAAAAAATAAAGCAAATGTTCGACATGCTGTTGATGAACATTCAATTCCATTTGCAGTTGTTAATGACAATAATTTACAAGTATGGAAACATGTTGGTTGTCAAATTTTTCCAACAGCACTTGTTTTTGGACCTGATGCATTACCAATATTTATATTTGAAGGAGAAAATCATGTACAACATTTAGAATTATTTTTGGTACCTATTCTTGCTTATTATAAATCAAGTGTACGTGCACCATCAACTGATACATTATCAATTAAAACTTCGCCAGATGATTTATCTGCAACGAGTGCAAGTAAAGATAATTTTGTTTTTTTTTAGTTCTTTAAAATTCAAATATAAAATAAAATTTTATTTAAAATAGCTCCAAAAACACCGAGATTTACATATCCAAGTCATGTATGTGTAACTTCAAGTGGACATTTATGCGTTTCATTTACGGGTTCAAATCAATTGATTTTCTGCGAAATTGATGGCAAAGTTCTTGTAAGTTATACTTACAAAAAAATTTTTATGTAATAAAATGTGTTTTTTTTTTTGATAGGATATTGTTGGTACTGGTCAGGCTGGTTTGGCTGATGGTGATATAGTACAATGTGAATTTGATGCACCACATGGTCTTATAGAATATAATAATTGTATCTATATTGCTGATACAAATAATCATGCAATTCGTGTGGTAAGAAGATACTGAAAATAATGTGAAAAATCATTTTGCTTTTTTTTTTTTTTTTATTAAATTTATATTTAGTTTGATCCTAATTCACGTCGTGTAGTTACATTAATTGGTACTGGTCGTTTAGGAAGTGACAAAATTGGTGGTCTTAAACGAAGTCAACAACCTATTGCTTCACCATGGGATTTATGTATTACAGAATCACCATGTAAGATTTATTCTTTAAAAAAACAAAGATAAAATATAATTAATACAATGAGAGCACTCAGATTAAATAGGATGAAACTTATTTTTTGGAGGGAGTGTCATTCGATAGAGAATTTTTCGCTCGATAAAACTGTTGTGTTTGTTTTTCAAGTTAGTTTTTTTTTTTGGTTGGAACAAAATTTAAAATATTAATATATAATCATCCGTCTGCATGGACGATTGAATAAGGGTTCGTATTTTAAATTTTGCTACAAGAAAAACTTATTCGAAAAACAAACACAACTGTTTTGCAGGACGAAAAGCTCTCTATTTATGTGGCACGTCTATTTACACTACCGTTAGAATGCAGTAGTAGAATGACGGTTAGGAGAAAATCGACTGTTTAAGTATTAAATTACTTCCAGTTGATGATTAGTATACTGATGGGTTTTTTATTACTATTGACAAATACTGCCGGTATAGCGCACATTAAATGGTGTTGTATAAGCTCTGGGTCTCAACGGAAATTAGTTTATATGTAAACAAAAATGGCATATTATCTCTCTTTTAATAGTAGTTATATAAATAGAAGAAACATGATAATTAGAGTGTGGGTGCAGAGGATAGCCACAGTTCTCAAAATTCTTTGAACATATAGAAGAAAAAAAAAGGTTTTATTGTTTTTTTTACTAGTCGATCATAAATTAGTATTACTTATTTCAATGACTGGTCAAAATCAAATATGGGCATATGCTTTTGAAGAAACTCAATGGTGGAATGATGTGTATGTAAAATATAAAATAATTTGAATAATTTTTTTATTTCATCATATTTTTTTTTTGTTTTCATTTAGTATATTACAAAAAAATTCATGCTCAGCAATAATTGGAAGTGGTACAGAAGAAAATAGAAATAGTTCTGAACCAATGACTGCTGGTTTAGCAGGACCACGTGGTATTTGTAATGGTATAATGAATGGAGGACCAGTATTATTCATTGCGGATAGTGATAGTTCGACTATACGTGTTGTTACACTTCAAGATGGACATGTTGCTAATTTAGTTGGTGGTAATGGTGATCCAACAGTATGAGAAAGAGATTTTTTTTTTCTGTTTTTAGCATTGAATTTATTTCTTTTTTTTTGAAATAGAATCTTTCAGCATTTGGTGATCTTGATGGTAGTGGTCATAATGCAAAATTACAACATCCAGTTGGTATTGTATTTCATTATCCATCATCACAATTATATATAACAGATACATTTAATAATAAAATAAAACGTGTTGATATGAAAACTTTAATGTGTTCAAGTTATTTTGTAATGGATACTGATAGAAAAAAACAACGTGGAGAAACAAATTCAGCTAAATTTAATGAACCATATGGTATAGCTCTATTTGAACATTATCTGTATCTTGCTGATAAAAATAATTCACATATTAAATGTATTGATCTTGATCATGGAACAATTATTCGAGTAAGTAAATTTTATATCATATAATTATTTGTATGATTGTCTGATACAAAAAATATATATTAATTCAATAAGAAACTGTTCTCCTCGAGAAGAAGTATTGTTTCGAAAAATAGAATCATTAAGTAAACATCTGATTGATATAATAGTTTTTTTTTTTTTGAAAAATTTGGTTTTAGATATTATAACAGTTAATCCGATATATCTTTATTTGATCTTTGCTCCGTCATGCGTTTTATGAAACTTACATATGTTTTCGAAAGAAAATAGTGAGTGTAAGTTTAGATCAATGTTTATTCTGCTCTCTCCACTCCTAGGTCTTAGCATCGATGGTGAAAGTTCAGAGATCAATGAATATGTTGACCCTAGCAATAGCGGAAGGAGAAGGTCAGGAGTCATTGAGTACACTTTCATAACAATCGAGGACAGCAGACATTAGACTTCTTTCCAAGAGTTGCTAAACAATGGAAAAAAGCTCTGAATGGAGATTACGAGAAGATTTAGGCTGTTTTAGAAAATTCTAGAAATAAAAGTTTAATGTCCAAAATATCAAGAATGATGCGTAGTGATGTATTCAGTTAGAACTTTTGAGAAATAATCAATATCAGTATTTCTTAGTTTAGTATGTTGTAACGTGCCGTAGATATAATGGATATGTACAACATGCTTATTTGTCAGTTAAATCAATGGTTAGAATAATAATAATGTTAAATTAAAAAAAAAACATCGAGCAAACACCAACAGAAATAAAATAAGGCAAATCGTGTCTGTGGCAATCGATTATCCTTAGAAAAGAAATATAGTCTATTAGAGATTTTTCATTTGATATATTTTGTATTAATATAATGAGGCTAAAGAACACATATGAATTCCACATTTTAACCTCTAAGGTGTTGCACTGACAAGTTTTTCTTTTAATGAGGACTGAGTAAAGCCATGCGTATCCAAACACTTTTGAAAAAAATTTTTTTTTATTAATTTTTTCGTTTTAATTAGCTGAGAGGTGTTTCTTAAATAGCTTTGATCGAACAAATTGACTGACTGTTGGTTGCCTGAAATGATGTGACCGATTTATTGGATTTTTAATCCATTTTTAGGTACTCTTCAAAAGATCGGATAACGGAGTTTTCATCGAAAATTTTATCTATAGATAGCTCTAATGATTCTTAGGACATCCCGAAAGTTTCAACCGAAAAGAATGTTCCTTCGTTGAGTTATTGAATTTTCAAGTGAACTCAATTTTTGTGACCCATAATTGTTGTTGAGAATTCAATATCTTGACGAAAGAACATTCTATTAGGCTGATACTATCAAGATAAATAAATTGAAAATCTGGTAAACCGATCATAATTTGGCAACAAAGACCAATAGAAAAGAACCCTTTTTAGGCTTTTGCTAATCTCACTGGAACCGAGATGATTTTTTTCTCTTTCGTGTTATAATCAATAGTATTGTTTATGAAAGAGGATTTGGTTGTGACTTAGATTTCAATAATATTATGAATTTCATATTTAATTGTTAGATTGACTACTGCCTATTGATTTAGTAAAATGTCTCAAATATTTTTGTATAATTAAAATAATTTATTTCTTTTTTATTTCTAGCATCGATTTGATTTGAGTGGAACATTGAATGAAGAACGTTCATTTGGTTCAAAACAAGCTTATTTATCTATTCTTCTAGCTGATGCAGTTCAATTACGTGAAGGTAATGCTGGTACATGGATTATTGAAGATGAAGGTAAAATAATAAAAAATTATTTTTTATTATAAAATCTAATATATGATAAATTTTGATAGATGGTTTTAAAATATGTGATGGTGAATTAACACATCATGCATCTGATCAAATACTTTTAGATTATATTCCACGTGATAAACAGGTAGCTCAACTTAAATATGAATTAATGGTATGTCAAGATGAAAATTGTTCAATGATGAGTGGTATAGTTCAACCAGCTAATCAAACAGACTCAAGTATTGAATTTATCATTAAAATTGATCAAAAAGAAACAACAAGTTCTGACTAGTCATGCATTTTTTTTCTTCTTTTGTTTTTATTCGTAATCCTGCAAATGTTTGTGTTTTAGTTTTCAAATATAACTTTTCTCATGTTTAATCTCGCATAGCTTTATACTGCATAAAAAAAAA